CGAAAGCCTAGGTACCTGCAGACCGACCGCTCCGAGCCGGAGTGGATCAACGCAGCCTGGCCATGAAACGGCTCTTGCCAAGAGACTCTCTAGGGAACGAAGCGGGAAAGACAAGGTTTAGCGAGTTTAGCGGAGCATGTGGCGAAGTCACTGGCGGCTGACGTCTTCAGGGTTCGGTATGGGTGCTGCTCGCGGGATTGCATGCCAAGTCACGCAGAGATTCAAGTATGGATAAAACTAACTTTCGGCAGAAGATTGGGAACCTGTTAAACAGCTTGGTAAGGCCGTTTCTGCGGCACCGGCAGATGCAGGGAACGGGAGTGAGTTTGAGCAGTGCGAGTATACATTACATTGTTTTTCTCGAGCCAAATTCATAACCCTAAACCCCAAACCCTAAGGATGCTGCTTTCTACTGCTCAGCGGACGCATGAATGGGAGAAAAGGGCCGTCTAAACAAAAAAAAAACCTAAGCCGATGCTTTCAAGAGAACTACGGTTCCGACTTTGCCAAGCATTCCGGGCCCGCGAGTTTCGTTTGCCGACATTGGCATCGGGATCTTCTGCTTGAGAAACTGAGCTTTTGCTGGGGGTCTTGTTAAGTCATGTAATTTAAGTTACCACAATAGGGGTTTATAGTAAATAACATGTTTTCCTCATTATTGATATTAATATATTATTATTATTATTAGATGGTAGCTTATATGAAATCCCTCAACAAGAGCCCAGCTGGAGTTGGAGGCTTGGCGAGGGGTCGCGGGCAAAAGGCAAGTTTACTCGCCAAGGCCTGGAGACGAGCCATGGACAAGATGATGTCTCGGCTGATCTTCACCTCGAAAGGCCTTATAAAGAATTTAGGGCCCTTAATAATTAGAACGGGGCTTTGGGGTAGCTATCGGTAATTATACTACAAGTATAACATAATAACAATAATAACTTCAATAATCACAATAATATTAAGAATATTGATAATAATAATAATAATATTAATAATGGCCCCTAAACCCTGTATTAGATTCTTCGAGTTTAAGGCTGCTGGGTTTGGGAGATTTCTGGCTCGGCGCTGCCAGTGGTACTGGATTTTCCGGCCGAGGGCCAAGGGTTTAGGGTTTAGGGTTAAGAGTGTGCCAGGGCAGAAGATCTCAGGGTTCAGGCTCTAGTCTGGAGGGCTTGAACACACTTAGGGTTTAAGGTTTAGGGTATCAGGCTGTCCTGGCGTGACGTTGCAATAAGCCAGTTGCAATAGTGTATCAGGCTGTTAATTTAATCACAAAGTATAGTATACTGTACCGCAAAGCCCTATGGTAGATGCACTTGAGACCCTTGAAGCCCTAAGTCCGCACGAGAGCAAAGAGGCATAGAGAGTGCCACAGGGAGGGGAGGTAAAGCTCTACGGACGAACCTTGCAAGGGCAACCTGGTGGTGGCATGTGCCGGCATGGAATCCAAGAACCCTAAACCCTAAACTTCCTAAACTGTTACCACAAATTAGCCACAGTTTGAAACATGAACATGTGGCTGTAGTCGACTGTTCAACCGAGACTCCCTGCAATGCGGGCTTCGTCCTTGCTAGGTAGGAGGGAAAAAAACTTCCTAAACCCTAAACCCCTTAACCCTAAACCCTAAAACCCTGACAAATCGTAGCTTTTTCAGCTGTTCAACCAATTTACCCTGCAATGCGGGCTTCGTCCTTGCTAGGTAGGAGGGAAAAAACCCTAAACCCCTAAACCCTAAACCGCTACAGCTAGGGTCAGAGGTTCGAGATACAACCCCTCGACAAACTTATCAATTTTCCAGGCGCCTTGCAGAGAAGCTAAGAGCCCCGGTTTTCCTAAAGTAGGGGATCCTAAAATGGTACCCTAAATAGTAGGATCCTTATTCTAAGGCCCTAATATGGTACCCTAAATAGTAGGATCCTTATTCTATGGACCCCAAAATAATGTACCCCTAATTCTTGGAAACTTCCACTTTAAGCAGCTCGGTTCATACCTGGACCTAAACGTTACACACCCTACCAGGCGGCCTTACCTACATCGCGGAGGAGAAGCCCCTTGGTGGCGCGCAGTTGTGAGCAGGTAGGGACTTTGGCCTGCAGATCCGCCTACAAGTTCGAAACCTCTGCTTAGTGATTGGTTTATCAGCCTGGCGTCTGGACTTTAAACGAGGTGTCAGCTTTTGGAAAAAGTTGGTTTAGGAGAGTCTTGGAGAGGTGGAGACGCCATCTGCCAGACTCGAGAAGGGAGGGGTTCGTTGATGAGATGTGATCGCAATCGATGAAGTACCATCTGCAGCAGCAGAAGATAGAGGGGAGGGATGGCTGGTATGGCTGGTGGATGAAGCTTGGGCCTTTGTGCAGGCGGATGGGGGTTGGGTTTCGTCGCGATCTCCTTCGAAGAAGCCCCCTCAAGTAAGGGAATGCATGCCCCTAACCGCGAAAAGCCCTAAACACGATGAGCTCTGGAGCCCGAGACCCAAAGCCCAGGAACAGCCGCACTGACCACAAGATGGACCACCTGGCGTGCTTCGTAGGTGCGCCTTTGCACTTGACGTATTTCAGCACCTATTGCGCAATAGTGGTTTCGGTGCAGGTTGGCACGGTGCTTCTGTCATCTGGCTCTTGAGAGCTTGTAGTACAAACTTGGGCGGTTGGCATGGAGCTTCAGCCAGTAGTAGCATGGAGTGTCTCTGATTATTCCATTATTGGCCCTGGTGCTGGAAGAGATCGTTGAGGTATGCTTGCGCAGGTTCTCCTGGCCAAAGCCTATAAACTATGCAGGACTGCATTGTTGGCAGCGGACAGACCACCTAGACTCTTATCAGGCGTCCCAAGACAGCGCACTTTGCAGAATCCGCTTGAGATAAGTGCCTGACGCAGGCGGGATGCTGATCTACGGCTCCCGTCAAATCAACCCAGAGGTGCACCGAGGGGAGTTGCTTTTCAATTGGATTTGGGTATCTACCCACTGATAACAGGTATCTTGCAGAAGGTAGATGTACCAACTTGTTATAGGGCCATATACCTGTTTTGAAGGTACATTTGTTGCTCTGGGCATGAGCAAGTGTTCTTACTATCGCAATACTGCAAGTGCTTACACTTTACAGGTGGCTGTGGGGCACCGATGTAGTTCTTCTAGAGTAGAAGCCGGAAAGTTGGAACATCACTAGCCTCATGACCCTACAGTAAAGTATAGGGGAATCCTAGCATGAATCATCCTAAATCTATGTTCCAACTTTCTAGGGATCACTATATCTGAACTCCAACGAGATCGAGATTTTCTGGCAGGCTTCAACATGAGCGAACGAGATAGGGGTGCCGCTAAGAAATAGCGCCTTTAGCCAATGAAGCAAACAGACACAGCGGCTCACATTGGGGCCTTAATGATCAGAACCCTATTCCTGATCACTCTATAACTCTAGCTTACATTTAGCTGCAGTATAATATACGCAAACACCAAGTCTGGTTTATATTTAACTATATTCAATTGCAGTATATAGTTACCCAGAACGCAAGTCCAATCATCAACGCTGCTACATTACGATAGGCCTTCGGAGGGCTGAAGGGCTCAGATCTCGGAAACAACGCAGAGATATTTTCCAAGAGCACCAGGCTGGAAGTTCAGAGCTTGTGGGTTCGCACTTATATGGATCATTAAGGGGCCGTGGTGTTGAGTGCTTTGGGGGTGGTTTTCGGCCATCTGAGTGACTCTGCAAGCCACACGCGAGGACGTGGATTCGAGGTGGGAGCAAACTGCAGCTGGAATCACAGAGACCTGCTACGAGAGCCTCGGCTGCATGGAAGCGAAGGCCAGATGCAGGGGTGTTGGGCAGTCGTATAGTAGAAACAATATGGGAGTCTCCGGAAATTAGGGGTACCTTATTTTGGGGTCGTTACAATAAGGAATCTACGATTTAGGGTATATACTATATTAGGGTCCCCTATGTTCGGAAACCCCCATACGGTTGATGATATAAATCCTGCATGACCCACAGTAGGGAATATACCGTAATTCCCATAGTTTAGGGTCCTTAAGGTAATGCAGATTTATATCATCGACAGTATGGGTCATACCAGCTGCCGGCCGCTGTGACAGCTGATGCACTGCAAAGGTGTGTTTGCTGGGGTATCTTGCCTGGTAGAAGTAGTAGTAGTAGTAGTAGTAGTAGTAGTAGTAGTAGTAGTAGTAGTAGTAGCCTGAAGCCTGCAGATCCCCGTTTCAGGCATCCGGGAAACAGTGAAAACAGCGCTGATTGTTTAAACAGTTTTGTCATGCAGCTCTCTCTCGCATGCTCGTTGAAGCCTGCTGAACCCTAAACCTGAGGATGTATCACCGGCAGCCGTCGCATTTGGCTCCGGAGGCGTGGCAAACTCGAAGGGCAGATTCGCTCAACCCGACATGGCAGTTCGCTGTGTGCTCGTATTAGGTTTTGGGGTTTTAGCTAAACTTCAGTAGGGTTATTAGGGGCATCATGGGGCTTAGCATTGGGATTAAAACGTTTCAGGTTTGGACCCTTATGGTTGTACTCTGCGTTGCTGTGCAGCTGGAAGTGGATCCTGGGAGAAAGGTGGTTAGATGCACAACCTGTTTACCCTGTGCGTCGCACAGTTTCGTCCACAGCTCGACTAAATGCCAGCGATCCTTGCCATCTAAGTTTTATCGAATCAAGAGGCGGAGCTCATACAGGTAGTCGGTCAGATGGTTACTTTGGCCGCTTGCTGCTTGAGCTTTTGGCTGACACTCCGCCGCTCCTGCTCGACCCAGGACCTCTGTTTCACCATTTTTTCTTTGCGCTCCGGAGTATCATGCCCTTCCCCAACCACTTTGTGGCATGAACAAAGGTCCAGAGATTCAAGGCTGCAAGCCATATATGAACTTGGGAGTTCTACGAATTTTGGGTTGATGGGTTTTGGGTTGTGGATCCTTAGAGCGTAATCAATTGCAATAAGGATTCCTCCTGAGCTTAGTCAGGCTTCCATCTTTGCTAGATTTTCGGATTTTGCCACGCCATGCACCCAGAGCCTGAGACATCGCGCGGTGCGGTGGATGCCCTGGAAGATCTCGAGCCCGAAGCTGTGATGCATAGGGCGAGAAGAGGGGTTCTTATACAGATTCAGATGAAGGCTGCCCTATTTACAGGTTCTCATACCTTCTTTGAACCCCACTACTTCTGAGGGGTCTATATTGGGGCCACCCATTTCGCTGCTGGCTGCATAGGCAAATTTCTAAGTCAGAACTGACAAATCTAGCCCAGCATCGACAATTTTGCTGCAAGACCTGAGCTCGGTATAGCCTAAGCCTCTCAACCAGGACAACTCGCCTGTCGTCCCCCCAAAGTAGTGGGTAAAATCATGTCCCAACTCCTATAAAGGGCTAGCATTCTACATGTAGGGTCAGGGAAGGCTTTTTCTCAGGGTTTAGAAACCTGACAAATGGAGTCTCTAGAAACGGACATATTTTCCGATTGCTCCAGGTCATCGCGCTTGAGTCCAGTGTTTGGGCTCTCCCCCCATAGCGAATCAAGGGACTCGGAGAGAACGGGATCTTACAGCGCTTGTAGCCTTTAAAGGGGTTTGACGAAATTCTTTTGAGGTATCGGGGGACCTAGCAAGTCGGTTCAAACTGAGGGCTCCGGGATTATCGCTATCATGGTTACGTTTGCTACTTAGCCTACGCTCGTTTGTTTCTATTCTGCACTGCTGTTTGATTGTTTTAGTTGTCTTGGCCCACACGCCCTTGCCGTTTGTTCAGAAGCAGTCGGTACACGTCAGAGAAGAGAGCAAGCGGGTCACAGTGATGCCTGGAATTACACGGAACTTGAAGTCCATAATTCGAAGTCTGCTGACGGAACCAACAAGGCTTAGCCTCCAACCCTGCAGTCAGGTCTCCTCCAACCCCCGGGTTCTCTTCGTAGGTGCCTACGGCAGGAACTGTTTTGATTTCGCATGTTTTTTATTCTGTGTCATGTTTGGGGATCTTGGACGAGGCGTTGCTAAACAACTGGCTTGAAGCCATCTAGAACTCTGACCATACTCCCGAATCTTTCCCCCAGGAGTCCGTAACCCCTTTACCAAGCAGAAAGGACCTTCTGCGAAGTGTACCCCTCCATGTTTGTTTGGCCGCCGGGGCTTGGCAAGAAATACAGCGTGCCTTGGCTCGTCACAACTAAACCCTAAAACCTTGCAGTGAGATGTGGACCTAGACCTGCACCAACAAGAATCACAGGAGTATGAACTTGTAATGTGTGCGATTCTCCGCACAATGTATCTGCCCGTTTATGCACATTGGTGTCGACCCTCATCTCCGAATTAAACAGTGTACGGTTTGAGCCGTGAGACATCACACAGCCACTGGTACAGATGGCAATATACGAAGTACCATTCATCTTCCACAGGAGCCTTTGAGAATGGAAAGCAGGAGACATCAAGAGAATCTAGGCGTGACAGCAGTTTGGGACTGAGCGTCTTCAATGTGGTGCTACCTACAAAAGGCGCATGTTTCATTTCTTAAGCTCTTCAGCATGAGGTCGCTGGAAGATCCAGTGTGCAGTGGGGCGGTTCTCGGACACTGCTGTTTTGCGCGGTTTGGGCTTCACTGGGCTGGGGACTTCAGCCCCCTCATGACAGAATAGACATTTGGAGGAAAAACTGTCGCGATCATGGGGAGCTTCTGTGTGCCCAAATTCGAAATCCGCAGGCCGAAGTTCTCTGCTGACATCAGAGCACACACACACACACATATATATATATATATAGATATTGTGTATTCAGCTATATGATATGTCTTTCTGTACTTTCATAGACGATGTTTGCCTGAGGTGCTGGCGCATCCGTGCAGGATGCAACCGGCGAGTTTCTGGGTCGTGATCTGCACACACACACAGAGTAATTATATACATGTGTACATATCATATAGATATACGTATATACATACAGAGAGCGAGAGATTTGTTTATTTGTTTGTTTATTAATAGATAGTTTTGTTTATCTTTCTACCCATATTTATGGCTCTGTCTGTTTGTCGAGATTTGCAGAGTCTCCGCAGTTCCAGAAATGTTTGAAGCATCTAGCGTCTATCCTTGAAGCGTTCGGGAATCGGGCCTGCCAGGTTTTAGGGCTCATAGGGGTTCAGCTTTTTAGGGTTTAGGGCATGAACCATGATCGCTTCTTTCAATACCTCCCGGCAACACTCTGGAATCTCAGGTATGAGTTTTTCTTCAGCCACGACTGGAAGACGTCAAGATGGCTGAAGCAAATCTCCCTGTTGGCTGTTTTCAACGGAGTTCCCGCTGCAGCCAGCAGCTTTATCATCAGCTTTGGGCTCGGCGTGATGGCCTCGTGTGGCTCCTCGTCTGCATGAAATAAGTCGCATGATGCAAGGGCTCGGAAGTGTTCAGGGCCTTTACAGGATTGGGGGGGGCGGGGGGTGCGGGAGGTCAGTCTCTCTTCCAAACGGACCTCTGTGTGGGGGTAGCCCAGATATCTGCTCCAAATCCCCAAAGCTGCTTAGGTTTACTCAGTCGTTCTGCATGGCTGCTATTGCCCGGCCACATCGCACCATTTCTGGTCTTGCTTTTCTGGCAAGACATGCGGCGTCTCTTTTTGCGGCCTCGGCGTGCATTCTTGGATAGTACTTCGGTTGAAATCACAAGGTTCTTCTGCATTGCTGGTACACTGGAGTGGAGAATCCCATGAGCAATATAGGGGCTAAATAATTAACAATACTATTTTGGTGGTTCCTTATTATACGTATTCTGGCCCCAGAACTCTATTCTAATCATTAAGGGCCCTAGACTATAGAACCCTACTACAGATCCCTTTACGGATCCCTTTAAAGGGAACCCTATTCTAATTATTAAGGCCCCTACATTATATCTCACCAGCCAAGGCCTCTGCATCCCTCAGGAGGATCCCATCCTCAAGGAGCGGTGCATTCGCCGACTTACCTCTTACCTGAGCCGATCGAAGAAGCTCATTTGTCTCTGGTCGCCGGACTACTTCCGGAGGCTTTGGTGTACATTCGAGGCATGGCACCGAAGTCTACTCGGAATATACGAACATTTTGGGGCCCCTTTCTCGGAGGCTCACTAGTGGGGTTTAGGAGGGCCCCTGGCTTGCAGCAGCTTCCGAGAGACGGCCTAAAGGAATTGACGTCGAAAGATGTTCTGGTGGAGGTTTCACAGACAAGTGTGCTAGGCCAGTACCGGGAGGCAGGTGTGCATGTTCACCAAGCACGTAACGGCAAGCCCCCAACAAAATCATGCAGAATCCGTAACAGTTGCAAGCCCTGTTCTCTCTCGCGAGTCAGTGACTCATCCCAAAGGCAGGTCATTGTAGATCAAGATCATCTCAGTTCAAGCCCAAAGTGTAAACCCCAAGGCCGCAAAGTTCCATCGTTTGCATCCCAAACCTCTAGGGGCTGGGCCTGGGCCGGCCACTGTGGATCACCTGCCCCTCATGGAGCCAAAGCCCTCCGGGAACGAATAGTAACACTCATGCCGCATGACGAGCTGCGAGGTTGGCTTCTTCTTGATGAGACAGGGGCAGGTGGAGAACATCACGTTCGTACCAGTTCAAATCGGGACATTGTTCCCATGGCTGCAAGTTAAGATGCTTGGGTGCATGTGTAAGTATATATATATATATATATATATCAAGATCTGATGCCGTTTTTGCAGCATTGCAGGGTGCACGGAGTGTGGCGGTACGTTTCATGTTTTAAGGATGTGCGAGTACTTCTGTCCTGCGGGTTTCTTCATCTCACTTGGGCGTTTGGGTTTAGGGTTTAGGGTGTTCGGATTTAAAGGGTCATGTGGGGCCGATTAGATGTGTGGCTTACTTGTTCGGTGGTGTCCGAAACGTGGGCTCGGGCTTTGTTTATCAGGGTGCACGCCCCAGGTGCACGCTCTGCTATGCTACAGCGGCTCGGCTTAAAGAACTCCTTGAACTCTCATGCCGTATGACACCTAGAATCCCAGTCCCATCCCCTGAACCCGAAGCCCTGTGTGGTTGAGGTCCTCTATATAGGTATAAGCAAACACATATACACATTTTTATATATAGACATGTGTGTCTGGGTATATGTGTGCTAAGCGTTGCATTTCTCAACCACGATCAGAGGATGTGCTGTAAGTGTTGGAGTTTTGGGGTTGTTAAGCTTGGCATACGGGGTCTTAGAACCGTAGGGTTTCGGGTCTTAGAACCGCAGGGTTTCGGGGTTGTGGCTTTGGAGCTTGCAAGAGTTGAGACAGTGGGTTTTTTTTTCTTGGCTCTTGACACTCGGCGACTCTTTCCATCGAGAGCATTTCAGCACGGAGTCAGGCACGAATCTTGGGTAGTTAAGTTGGAAGACGGAATGGCAGTAAGAGCTTGTGCTTTTAAAAAAAATTCGACATTCTGAAGGCATGCCGGTATGTACTCCCACGACGAGAGCTGCGGAATGGAAGTGGGAGCTACTTGCAGTGGCACCTACCATATCTACTTTACTCGAAGTCTCGATGTAGGTCAGGCACACCCAGCTTGCAGTAAGGACGGTTTCATTACGAAGTCCCAAACCTTCGCAATGATGTAACAGTACTCGCAGCATGTGCTTGAAAAGCTTCCTGCGTGAGTTTGACAGAATGTATTATGAAAAAGCGTTTCAGTTTGTTTTATCACTCCAACTTATAAGTTCTTTGTTTGATAATGGGTCCAAGTGCCACACCCCCAAGCCTGGCCTTGTGGCTTCGACCCCCATCTCACAGACTTACGCGACTCCCCCACAACGACATATGAATGCAGCGCCCAGTCTAAACGGCAACACTTCGCCCCAAGCATCCCCAACTCATGATTTCTGAATTCAGCCAGGCGACTGTTTTTCGACTGACCTTGTTTGTGGTGCAGTACTCGGGCCTGCCCTTCGTCGACTCTCTGCTGGTTTACAGTGAATGTAGGGATGATAGCAAGAGGCATAGCAGTCGCCGTTGAGGTCGTCGTGGACATCGCCTTGGTAGTAGGAGTAGGAGTGGGAATGGGGAGGAGTGGGTGCTGCTGCTGCTGCTGGTGGTGTTGTTGTTGTGGTTGTTGTTGTTGTTGGTGGTGGTGGTGGTGGTGGTGGTGGTGGTGTTGGTGTTGTTGTTGTTGGCAGCGATTGTTGTTGTTGTTGGTCGGGGGCGGGTAATGGGTACGCAGTGTACGGGTGTACCTCCTTGTTGTTGTCGTTGTTGTCGTCGTCGTTGTTGTTGCTGTTGCTGATGTTGTCATTGTCGTCATTGTTGCTGCTGTGACAGCCGGCCTAGTAGCGGCCAGAAATGGTTGTTGCGGCGGTAGTCTTGATGCGATTAGCTGCTACTAGCTGCTGTGTAAAACAGCAACATAAGCAACATAGTTTGTAGTAGCAGTCCTCGTTGTCGTTGTTGTGGTATGAGTGCATGTCGTCGTCATCAGCGGCAGCAGTTAACAACGACTGACTCAACAGCAACAGTCCGCATGCGATATAGAAATTGTGAGTGGTTGTGATGGTGACGGTCTTTGTGATTCTAGGTTGCGGCACGGGCCTGGCTCGGTTTGGTTACCAGGAGCGGGCCGCAATACTTTTGTCGTAGGCTACTCAGTTGAGTTTCTGTAGTTGTCGATAGTTGAAAGTTGCCGGCGACAGCTACATTGAATGAAGCTACTTGTAGATCACATTTCGAAGGATCGATCTTGCACACCACCACTATCACCGAACAACGGTACGACCACCACCACCACCACCACCACCGCCACCACCGCCACCAGCATCAGCCTGATTGTAAGGTTCAGTCTCGACGTCTATAGTCATCACCATCAGCACCTGGATTTCCAGTGCCACCTCTGTTGTTTCACAAGACTTTCTCGCTCTTCGGCCACTTGTCACCATCATGAATACGATGTGCTAGATAATGTTCTCAAAGCCTCAGAGTGTGCGAAGCCGCTGAGCCTTTACACCGTCGCAGCCTCGCAACGGAAGTCTCAGGATTTTGTTATCGTGGTTAGCATCGCTGTCTTCGTTCTGGCCGTTTGTTTGACCCCAGCCTTCTTCCTGTACTGGAGCGCACTGCTACTCGCCACTGGTTAGCTTTGTTGGTGTGAACCTGCTGCAAAGTAGACCGCGACACCCGTGAAGCGAAATTTCATGGCATTCTATGCAAGAGTTCACTGATAATTACTGGGCGCCTGGCTTGCCTTTGTGGACTTGGTCGCCGTTCTGCTTAATTAGTCCGTAGTCGTGTCGGTGGGAGGGTTGGCATCACAACAGGTCCTTTTCCATGCCCCGAAGTCTTGGCAAAGCAGGTGACTGGCTCTGGCCCAACAGCATGCACCTTCGATCATCTATCAGGGAGCGGACATTTAAACTGCTTGTAGCAGTATTCCTGTTTTACTGTTTTAGTGTCGAAGACCCTAGCAAGGCAGGACAGCGATATTGTTCTTCGGCATAGCTTCTCCAAGAACAAAGCCCAGGTTAAGGGACGTCGCAGATCTGCCGAGACAGTTGCGAGAGTTCCGGCTTCAACGCTCCGAATGCTTCTGCTGCTCACACGGGCACCGACATCCCGCCTCTGCGCTGCAATTTCGCATTGCTCTGACTCCGATGTAGTTACGTCACAGTGTTGGGAGCAGCATCCCAGCCTGTATTTGGCCCTCGCTTTCTTGAGCAGGTGAGCGGGGACACAATCTTCTGTGATCGTACGCTCATCTACCAGAACCTGAAGGCGTTTTGCAAGTGGAAAGGCGGGGAAGAAGACATGCTGGACCTTTTCAATGGGCATGTACACCGAGTTCTGGCACCAAGCATCCAGCGGAAGTCGAGACACAATCTGTTCGTGCTGAAGTACACTCTCATTGCGACTCTTGCGGCCTGCTTCCCCCACCTATCTGTTAGCATTCCACGAAGTCTGGAAGAGAGGCAGACCGGTTGGGAAGCTAACGTCCTCTTTGCAGGCAGCCAGCTTTTTCTGGACCTGGCCGTTGTGTTTTTGCTGCGTGTGACGCTGTTGATCGGACAGCTGGGGCACAGACAGTTCAGGGCCTGTTTCCATTGTCACCGAAACCTTGCCATTGCCGTGCAGGTTGCCGCATTCTGCTTGGCTGCTTGCGGTGTACTGCTTCCCTGGCCTGTATCCGTTATTCTAGCAGAGGACAACAGTATGGCTCCGTTTGCATCGGTGGCCGTCTTGCTTTTCTTTAACCTGTACTTATATAAGCCTTTATACTACAGCTCGAGAGCCAAGTTCACTCCGGCTTCGATGGCAATGCCCCAGTTGCAACCTTGCGAGAATCTTGAGCCTGACATATGCAACGACGGCGCAAGCTCTTGCTTCGAGGTTTGACAGCAGCCATGATGTCAGCCAACATGTCACGTATTCGGGGATGTGGTACCTTCACAAGTTCTTGACCGGAGTGCATACAGTCCCACCGCAACCAGTTGAGGCGAGTGCAGAGCGGGAGGTTTTGCCTTGGACAGAGGTCCCCAGATTATTGGTAGTTTGTGTATAGCCGTGAGCCTAGATGCCGTCGTTGCACCAGCGCCTAAGGCCCGGAGGGCTTGAGGCACAAGGTGAAAGACCGTGACACGCAGAATCTATGCTGAAAACCTATCTTCTCTTATGTAAGTGAAAGTCCCAAGTTTGCACACCTGAAGCCCTGTGCAGAAGTCTATGTTTGCCAAGCCACTCGTTAACATACCTTTTGACCTTACACAGTGCCGTCAGTGCAAACCGTAATGCAACTGATTGAGAATTCAACATCCTCCACGCTCCCCGACACATGCAATTCCTTTCGGTCTGGCTTTTGAACGAAGGATAGTTCAGCGATTTCGCTCTTGTCGCTGATTGACACTGCTCAACTCACCACATATATCGTGACACCCGTCTCTTCAGACCGCTGGGACAGGATTCTTGTGCAAGCTTCAATATCTTCCGTAAAGAGATTGCTGCAAGCAATCCGTCCTGCTGCTATGCGGCAGGAGTCTTGTAGTCGCTTCTAGCTCCGACTTGCCGCATCTACTGTAACCCAGGAAATTGGAAGCTTGGCATCCCCGGCCCCTCAAGCTTAGAATACTTCCACGAGGCGCATAGTAAGGCACCTTTCGTGCCTTCTTCTGCATATGGGTGCCGCAGGACAGGCCAAGGGTGCGTTGGATGAACATACAAGTCCAGTTACAAAGCTCCGACCGGGACAGCCAGCAAGCACTGTTATTGCCGTAGCGCCCAACGACTCAGCATGCATTCAGCTGGCACGGCCTCATGTTCTGCTGCCTTTGCCCCAGCCCCAAGAACTCTGTACCCGTTGATGGACCTACAGCCAAGCCTTCCGCGGGCCCCACTGCCAGGCATCCCGGTTCAACCCCCAGGGCGTGCGGGGCCAGGACATGCCGCCCGGAACATATCTTAACGTCGGCCGACATCCTTAAACTTAAATCCTTCAATCCAGCCATCTACACATGCACACATGCACGCATGCATGCATGCATACATGCATACATGCATACATGTGTACATGTGTACATTTGCATATGCAGGGCATCTGCATTCACATGAACATGCATCCTGCACCTACGGCTCAGACAGACAGACTGTACGTAAACGTGCATGTGTAGGTACGATCTGTCCGTGTGCGTCTGTGCACTAGTTAGGTATCTAGCGTAGCAGCTAGTATAACTTATCACCTAGCTTCAATGATCTACTTACCCGAGTCGCCTACCCTACTTGACCCAAGTGCAGAGATGCGTATGTATACCATACATGCATACGACACACATACGTACATACAAAGACAAACAGACAGACAGATTATCGTGTACTTATACATATACATGCGTGCATCCGTACATACATACATACATACATACATACATACTTACTTACATACATAGACATCACAAACACAGCTCTATGTATATATATATATATATATATGTGTGTATGTATGTATGTATGTATGTATGTATGTATGTATGTATGTATACATATGTATATATACATACATATATATATGTATATATATATATATATGTATGAGCGCATCCACTGCACCATTTTGGCTGCATTCGCGTACAGCAACTTGTTCGATAAAGTTGTGCCGTCATAATCCCATGTGCCCATGTCCGGAAGAGAAAGCGCAACATTCATCCCATGTGTTTTAAGTATCATTAAATGTGATCAAGCTTGCTAATTACGTCGGGTTTTCATTTTGGCGGCTAATCCCGAAGCTCTAAACCCTGTTTGACTTGTCTAACCTTGCCATGCAGGCACGTCCTTTCGAAGTAGGCAAACAAATGTCCGTAAGCCCTTAGACCCCTAGGTCCTAAACCTTAAAACCCTTCACTTGAAAGGGAGGGGCTTTAGCCACTTCCTCGAGCTGCTGCGTGCGCTCAACCTGCACGCCTAACATGGAGCCTTTAATAAATACCTATAAGCTATTGCGGGGTTCCTTCTTGTAAGTCTAATTATTAAGGCCCCTATATTGCTAAGGGCCTAGGGTTCAGGGCTTTAGGCTTTTCAAAGCACTCGCCAAGCTCCAAAGCCCCCAGTCAGCCGAGGAGTGTTTGGAACAATGCGGGGCAGTACTTGCTTCGTCCAGAGGCTGCCGAGGCACCATATGAAAATCATGGTATCATATACCCCAAAACTCTATTCTCACGATTAATTCTGCCGGAGAACCAGGAGGAGCGCAGAGGACTTTTCTTGAACCTACATCGAAAGGGATGTGGATGTGTCACACGGCACCGTCGGACTTGTTCACTTGCAAGTGTTTGCCTATTGTCACGAATAAGGCCCCTATATAAGTAGGGTTCAGGGTGTAGGAGTTACTAATCCTACGAGCACAGTCCTAACTGGCGGAAGAGCGGCAAACTACCAGGCGTCCTTGCGTGCAAGCCTGCAGCCAAAAGGAGCTACGAATCTTATGAAGTTCAGTTCGAAAACACGACAAGGGCAGTATAAGAGTGCTGTACATGTGCTATACTTGCACTTAAGAGAGTACTCTAGGGGTACTAGAGTGTTTAGAGCCTCTATGATTTCGGGCTTTTGGACGAAGGGTTGTGGGCATAGGGTGCTCAGGGTGGTTGAGGCATGAGCGTGCTTGCGATTTACGGGTTTACGGCGTGATCGAGGAGGGCTCCCGGCTTCAAGTATTGTCTGACTTGGACCGTTTTGCGGTTTTGGCGTAAATGGTTTTCGGTGGTGTGCAGGACGGACGGTCTGGCTGTTTTCGCAAGAAATCTAGCAGCAAGCATCTACGGACTGTGGCTACATAACTACCGCAAGAAAGCACACCAAACGACATGCCGATGTCCCGACTCCTTCTGTCCGGGACCAACGGGCCCCACAGCAGCGGAGTCTTGTTGGGCACTGATCTTTCGTTGCATGCGTTGCAATCATTTTTGGCTTGGCTTGCTTCGGCAAGCAAACCTAGGCTTCTTCGGCGGGTAGGTTTTTGGAGGCTTCGCGTTTGCAGGGGCATCGGGATGTCAAGCGGTATGCTGTACATGGCCCGAGGGTAGGCATCAGGCATCAGCCTCAGAAAAGCTACTCGCCGAGTGTGTGTGTGTGCCAAAGTGTGTGCGGGGTGCCCAAACTCTACCTTATAGGCTGTTGCGATCTGCGTGATGCGACCCTCCGATTGCTTTTTCGACTGCTCGACGTTGAGATTCAATGCCCAGCATCCCGACGAAGTGGGCTTGTTGAAGTTTGTTGCCCTTGCCTTTTGCTGCTGAGCCGTCGCAGAAGCGTGTACACATGCGTTGCCTCAGCGGGTCTCGGAATCCCAGACCTGTTGCAGGCAATTTTCTACATGTTCTACTACACTGGCGATCCCAAATACCGGCGATGGGCAGGTGGTTTGGGAACTGTTAAGCAGCTGTCATGTCGACCACAGCAGAAAAAAGTCTTGAATCCATATATATATATCCATATTGTATCGTTACAGCCTCCTCTTGCGTGCCATATTTGCCGATATACTCGAGCGTGAGGGAAGGGAGGTGCATAACCTCAAGGCAGCAGTCTTGTGACCGGCAGAATTATGAAGAAGCCCGTTACTGATCGGTACGTGCCGTGACGGCCGAGGGTAGTTGAGGTGCGTTGGCTTCTAAATCAAAAGTTGTTGAGGGCAATGATCCACCAAGTCTCATCGCTTTACATAGCCTTGAGCCGCCTCGGGTCTGCTAAACCCAGATGCCCCCCCCCACCTGAGAAGAGTCATGCTTGACCGTGACTAGACTAGCCATGCAGAATACAGGCGAGATCATGGAGGCTATCGAGAAGAACTGTCGCACCACACATGGCTACAGTGGCTTCCTTGAAATACAAAGCTTTGGGGTTACGGTCTTCGAAGTATTGATTCCCCAAGCTCTTCAGCCTGTAACATCCATGTAACGTCCACCCAGCACAGTACTTATTCGCGCATAGCTTGCACTTTCCTGGCACATCCTGTTGCCTTGAACTAGTTGGGCTCCGCAGTGTTGGATTCTTACTTAAGGGCTTCCGGGGCCTTTTGGAGGATCTGCTGCGAGTAATAGGCATGTTTGCCAGAAAATCCCAAGAACAGACGTCGAACACAAAATTATCTTGCGCTGCTCGAATCAGGCGCTGAAGAAAGTTAGATGACTTCAATATTTGGGAGCTGCTGCGTGGAACCCTAGTACGTTAGCCATATTATGGTTGCCCTATAGTACACCTATGCTTATGCTACCCTAAGAGTATCCATGTAACACCCATACGCTAGCCTTACAGTAACTCCCCCCAGTCTTAAAGCCAGAGCAGAAGATTTTTTTTAAGGGTCCATGTACTTATGTAGTATATACATTGGCCTAGATGTAGTCCCTATTCAGGTACTTTGGGACCCAAGTTTTTGGTATATGAGCACATGGAGCCTTAGGGTTTTAGGACCAGGTGTCCTTCCAAGCCCCGATGCAACAAGGACCAGGCTGCTGGATGATTTGATGGCCCAAGATTGCGAAGAGACGTTGAGCCGAGGTGCAGTGACTGACGTGCGGCGGAGCCCGGTGACCCTGCGAAACGAGATGGAGACCTTCTTTTTGGCAGCCCCATGGGCTGGCATTTGGAATTTGTAAAGGGCCTTGACACGGTCGATAGGGTTTTAAGTGTCCAGGTAGAGCTGATTGCAATGCTTCAGCTGATCGGGCTCTGGGGGCCCAGTGCTTTCGAAGTTGCGGGTTACAGGGCCGTCGAGTCTCCTGCGGCTTGCAGCTGGCCTGGGCTCCCCATGACTGCCACCTCCCCCAGGAATCCCACCCTGTCCGACAATTTTTCCCCTGTAAGCGCAGAGTTTCCGTGTCCTTCGGGGTTTTTGTGGGTATAGGGAGTGCCGAAATGTGTTGATAAGGAAGAGGCTGAAAGACTTGGGGGGTTTGGCGCACGCCTTTGATGTGAGTCGTCTGCATCCGGGGGGTCTGTGTGGAGCAGGGAATAGGCTTTGGGCTTGGGCTCGTGTTTGTCTGTGGTTCAGACTTCGCTGAGGGACTCGGGTAGCAACATTTCTTGAGCCTTGAGGGGTTTGGCCGTTGCATGGAGTGTTGGTTAAACTGGATGACACGGACGAGGCAGCGGCAGCATTTTGAGTATAGAGCCGTGGGAAGTACTAAGTAAGGATTAGAGTTGAGCACGCAGGGCACCTGGAAAACTGTGTTAATGTCGATGGCATGTGATTCTGCTTCCGAAGTGGCACGTCGAACTCTTCCCATGTCTTCGCGGGCCTTGCGAGAGCAGGTATCTTGTACGCAAGCCCGGTATGCAGCCTTGACGACCCAGTAAAGGATATTGCCGGGTAGGTGACCCAAGTGCTATACTCCAGAATCCCGCCTTCGGATCGCTGGCGGTCAAGCAGATGAAGCCTCCCGAGAAGCTTTCTGCCTCCAGAGATCTGCAGCCCAGGAAACTCTGAAGTATCTCTACCTCACTTTCGTTCCTAATCCGCGCGCGGCCGCTGGATGCTGCAATTCAGTGGGAAGTTAGTCCGCGTTCTGCCTGCCCGCCCCGCATCATGTTCTTCTGGGAGCTGGGAGCTGTAGGGCCGCAAGCCACAGTTGGAGCACTGAATAGCACCTGTCGTAGTAACCAACAGTGCTGATGATATATCTCCTGCATTACCTTGATGACCCTAAACTATGGGAATTTTTGTATATTAATTATTATGGGTCAAATTATGGGTCATGCAGGATAGTCGATTGTTTGTAATTGCTGCCAGTCTGAAGAGGCACGGCAGCATGTGACATCCCGGCACGCAGGTTTTGAACCTCGATGACTTCGTTATCACGACCGAAGCTCATCCTCTTAGAATAGCAAAGGTTGGGAAATCCAACCGACAGCAGAAATTTCTAGGCAAGTGAAGTGTAGACATTCCTCGCCAAAGGTGATACGGCACATGTTGTTCTGCGAGGGAGCGGGGTTTCGATTGCCGACTCAAAAAATTGTTTCGGCTTCACGGATGGAATCTCAACATTCCAAAGTCGATACATCCGCCTGCTTTGCATGGAAGGACCTCGTCAGCAAAGACGAATGTTGATGAATTCCATGCGTTGCCCTATGCATCTCAAGCCTGTTTCGGCTTGAAAATTAATTCACGAGACTTGCGCAGTCGAGGCGGTTCATCCCGAGGGTTTTGCATAATTGTGCTTGTATACCTGCATCTGTATCTAGAGCTAGATAAATTATCCTTATCTGTAGCTTTCTACATGGTTAGTTAGACAGATAGATCGTTAGATGGATGGGTGGATTGTATACAGACGGGTAGATAAAGAGCAAGATAGAAAGATACGTAGAGGCAGATAGGCAGAGCGAGATAGAGACAGAGAGCTAGCTAATAATATAGATTGATCGACAGGTGGATAGGTCGACAGACCGGTAGATCAATAGATCGACAGATAGACAGATAAATAGCAGGCATGGATGGTAGCTAGCCAGCTGGCTGGCTTGCTAATTAGCTTGTTCGGTGGGTAGGTAGATGATAGTGAGTTAAGTAAGGGGATAGAGAGAGAGAGAGAGAGAGAGAGAGAGAGAGAGAGAGACAGAGACAGAGACAGAGACAGAGACAGAGACAGAGAGAGAGAGAGCGAGCGAAAGCGAGACAGAGAGATGGGGAGCTAAGAGATAGGGACAAGAGAAATCAGACGCTCTCCCGTAGAAAACCCCTATGAGCACAGAACACTTAGTAATCGATATTCACGGACATGGTGGGACGGCCAGCTCGAACTGCTTTGTCTCGATGACCCATAGCGCAAAGGGCCAGAAACCCTGTGCATGTTGCTTCAGTCAAAGACTCCAGGGTTGGAAAGGGCTGAGGTTTTCCTATGGCTTAAGGAGACCTTCCCAACACACACGGCGCGCAGCCGGAATTCCTTGGCTTTTCTTTTGCGTTGCCCTTTCTCGGCTTCCATTCTTTGGAGGTGCTGGGTATTCTGCTTTGCTGTCAGTTGAATCCCAGGCCTTAACTGTTGCCCCAGAATCATGCGGCTTGCTGGCATGAGCGCGTCCACTTGGTCCGGTCCCTGCACCCCAAACCCTGAACGATTTCAAGCTCTCAAGCCTAGGCGCTGTCACGCTGTGTGCACGCACAGAAGACAACGGTCAACCAAAAGACTCGAGAAGTTAGCAGACTCAAATCCGAGCTGTGTGTGTATCCTAGGCAGAGGGCCTTTTGTCGGATCTTGCAAAATCCTGGCTGTGAGAATTGTATAGCCTTTGGGTCATGTTCTGAAAATGGGTCGCTGTCTCAGAAGAGGCGCACGAAACGGTCCAAGCGTGCGCCAACCTGACAGTCAAAACCCAAACCCTGTGCAATACTCCGAACGTAAACATCGCATCTGGTGTGTGCTACTGAAGGTGGGGCTTAAGTTAAGGTTCGGTTTGAGATGGCTCATCCTGTGCTTATCTGCGTTTGTCTTGGGAGTTGCGTGTAGGTTACGCTTGCCGGGGCGTAGGCATAGGTAGGATGGCAGACCTTCGAGCCTTTAAGTTCGAACTCCGCCCACGCCATGTCGTCAAAGTTCACGACTGCGGCAGTGGAAGAAGGGCACGGCACTCAGCTCGTGCAGTGGTCATTGCGATCCTTGAAAGCCGACCCCCCATGTCCTTAAAGCAGCAAAAAACGAAGCTGCCGGTATGTCTGTAGACGGTATTCCATGCCGGTAGCATTCGTGTCGTGTAGTGGGAACGACATCCGCCGTCCCTTCGATTTCTGTTGGCAGTTCCATGAACGATGTCGCTTCAACGACGATGACGTTGACTCCATTTCATCGGGTTGTTCGTTGAATTATGGTTTCTCTCCGTTTGTGTGTGAGACTAACTGACCGAAGCCCGCATGGCTGCAAAGTATGCGCAGTGACAATCCTTCTGTTTGCCTTTTCCTTGCTTGCAGCCGGTTAACCGGTTGATTCTCAGGACCTCATGGCAAAAGAACGTACTGTGGAGGCTTCGAACATCGGATCCGATGCGGATGCGCTTAAGACAGTGTTGCTACTAAAGACTGATGCCGGGATGCCCCCATGTCCAGATCAAGTGAGTCGCAGCTCTAATGGCGGCATCATCCAGCTCAGGATAAGTAGCATGTGGCAGTAGTGAGAACGTAGGAGCATCAAACTGATGCAAGGTCTCGGGAGACGGCTGCGGCACTGCTGGAGGCTTCTGATGCCTTCCTCTTCGACTGCGAGCCTCGGGCCATGAATCAGAGCTTGCGACCGTATAGCTGTGAATATGTATTTGTCTATAACGTGTATGTATATATATATATATACAGAGATATAGATATGTTTATGTATATATATATATACACATGTTCATAGCTAACAAGTGAATGTGTCTGGTTGCACAAAGGCTGGACCATTAGATGTCATGAGCCAAAAGGAATATCATTTGCAGCTTATAGACATCCTTGTACACAGTCAGCAGCTGGTCGTGCTCATGGTCGGCACATGTGGTTGTGCCTTCGTCTCTGTATGCTGAACATCCAGGACCAGGCGAGAAGTTGGGCCACACGTAACGCTAAGCCCCAAAACCCTAAACCCTTGGGACAGCTGGTCTGTTGTGCCCCTGAACCGTTTTTCCTACTATGCCATATGCCGCTTATGCTCGTCTTTCTTACTTATATTCTGTTTGTTTGCACAACAGTCTGGACTGCCTTACAGTAGTAACGGTAGCAATGGACCCAGAAGCCGTGCCTGCGATTGTGCGAGTGTGCGAGTCAAAAAAAAACCCTTGGGACTGGCCCCATCTTCCTACCTTCACCCCTCGGCCTTCCCTTGTCCTCACTCCGCCTAAAAACTGCTATGCTGCTTTTAGTACACCACAGAAACCGGTTCCTGACTCCATCTTCGCAACCGCAGAGGAGCGAATTCAGACGGCAGGGTACCTAGGTTGACTTCATGTAGGGTTCATGAAGACGCACCATACGCGCACCGAGGCAGATAAAAGGACACACACACACACACTCACTAACATGCCTACTAGTATGTCATATTCTGACTTGCGATGCTTGTTGCTTTTTGATGAGTACTCCTGCAGGCTTCAAGGTTACAGGAAGTTGTACCGGTTGCCCCAGAAGGAAACCCCACGGGACCGACCCAACGCGAGCGTCTTAGGACGGCACCCTGTACCATGCTGGCGAGGCAGGTTTTTCTTTCTTGGGCTCCTTTGTGCCTTCGTGGGCTCACTGTATGTAGTAGAGGAATCCAGGGCCAGAGAGGCTCAGGGACGTTTGCGCATGGGATTGCGGTTGCAGGGTTTCGCAATCATCGGAGTGTCAGATTTTGCCGCCTGATCGTAGTTCCCTCGATGCAAGTCCGACGTTGCTGGTGACGGTTTGCAATAATAATATGTTGTTCACCCATGTTCGTACGGCCTGACGTTGAGCGTCCTGCATGTATGTATGTGTGCTATGTATACATGAGCAAAGAGTCCGCCGGCTTCAATCTGGCGCCAGGTCCTTCCCAACGTGGCCGAGGCGATAGCCCATCTTAGACGCTTGGGAAAGGCTGCTGGCGCCCGAGACAATGTTCGGCGAGGGACCTGAACCATTTAAGCCCAGAAGGATTTGTGGGGTTGATCGGTTGCTGCTGGTCGAAACTGGAAGAGACAACGGTGCCTGGCGGCTTAGCGGCTCAGCGCCCGCATGCTGCAATCAGCGTCATGAAGTCGGGAAGACGATGCGACGTACCTAAGAGCAAGCAGCAGTCTCTCTCTGTGTTTTTGTTCTTGTGGTAGCTCTCTACAGCTACATTGCGCATGTAGCTGCACCTGTAGTTACCAACACACACAGACAAACACGCACGCACACGTATGTGGGTGTGTATGTATATGTATGTATGTATGTATGTATGTAGTCATGTATGCTGCTGTACATGTGTATGTACGTATGTATGTATCTCTGTACGTGTGTATCTACACAGAACATTGGCAGTATCATTAGTAGGTTTATAATGGCGAAATGTATGCATATAGTTTTGCAGACATGCAACTTTATAAATGTATCAGCGTATCACCTATGTACAGACGCACGCAGTGATATATCTATGTGTATATATATACACACACGCGTGCACTCACGTACCTACGCCCGTACTAATCTGCAAATTCAAGATACAGATGGTGCGCTGTACCAGCTACAACCTCACAGGGTCCAAAGTACCCATATAGTAGGATGCAGGGTTTCTATATAAGGAACTATACTAATTGTTCTGAGTTATGAGTTGGGGAAGTATCCCCTGTACTGTAGCAGTACTTAGTACCCTTTGGGAACAAAGTAGGGAGAACCGGGGGGTGGCATCTTGTGAAGCCTGTCGGGTTCAGGTCTTCTTCGTCACGAACACCTCTTCCAGGCTGCTTTGTTTCGGGGCGCAATAAGACTAAGAGTAGAAATCGTAATGTTAAAGAACAGTCAGTAACTACTGTAATTGTGTGAAGATTTATCGTCAGCAGTATGCTGCAATTGGAATTGGCTGCCCTGACAGGTTTAACACACAAGAGAACTGGCATGGTGAAACGATCAGACGTAACGTTCCGCCGAAAGGTGCGTGTGTCTGCCCTGGCCGAAATCCGAAATAAACCCTGCAGAGCCCTTTCTCATGCTCCCTTGCATACAGGCTTCGGTCGGAGCCACCTACCCCTAAACTCTAAATCCCTAAGCCAAAAAAAAACCCGAACATTCCTAAGCACTGGAGACCTCGCTGCAGGAGCAAAGAGCAGCTCAGGGACAAACTCTGCGCCCTGGGAATCGATTGCCAGGCAGAGGCAGGCCGGGAAGTGCCGGTTTAGGAAGTTTAGGGTTTAGGTGGCTTTAGGGGTTAGGGATTTAGGGTTGTGTAAACCTCGTTCAAAAAGGGTTTACACATCCAGGCGGGCATATACAAGTCTTTGCAGAAGGGTTTACGGGTTTAAAGTTTGGGGGTCAGGGTTTTAGGAAACTCTTGGGGCTTTGGATAAGCGCCCTGTTAGTACGCCTTATAGAAGACTGCCACAGAAACCTTATGCTATACGGTTTTCGATACAATAGTGTTTATAAGGGTTCCTATCACACAGGGTTCTTGAATGGGTTCCTGGAAGCCAACTAGGTTCGTGCAATAGTATTTGAGAGGGAGCAGTTTTCTATCACAGTGCTCTTCAAGGCTTCCTATGAGGGTTCTATAATGGGCTTCTAGCAGGGGAGTTGTCCTGAAGTTCGTTGTGTTTCTATAACTATAGTCTCCTTAGAATTATTGTTTATTTTTGTTCATATACAACCCAAGAGAATATGAAATTTATTATTTTTAGTATGGTTCTAAGGGGGGTATAGATAGGGGTTCTTCAGTCTAAACTACCAGCCACACACGCAAGATACCAACATTGAAGCCTGAAGCCTCGAACTGCCCAACTCCTAAACCCGAAACCCTACCCTAAACCCTAAACCGCCGACCCTAACAACCCAAAGTCCCTGTGAGCCTGCTAACATCGATGTGACGTCCCTTGGCAAAATATATCTTAGCCTTTTCTCCGGCCCTACCTGTTGAATTTTTGGCGAGTGATTTTGGGCTTTTCGGAGGTTTGCGCACGATTGTAGATCCTTTTTTTTGGCGTGGTCGGGCCTTGGTGACAGCGGCTGCTGCGCTCGATCCCTATAAGAAGCAAGAAAGCAAGAACAGAAAAGCAACAATCGACTGTACAAGGTGAAACAAAGTGGCTGCGACATACAGACTTAGCCGGCAAAGTATTGCAACTTGAGAATTGGCTTCGGACTTCAGGTGCTACCCCACATACCCCACATGCCTCAAAGCCTGAAGTCTTCACGAACTTGTGTGTCCTTCAAGGGATAGAGAGAGCCGCTGGCCATCCCCCCGAACTACGTTTTCACACAAGCTTTTGGACACTTTCTTCTCTGGAATCCTCATTAAACTTAACCTATTGTTCTGTGACTTTAAGATATGTCAGGGCTTAGGGTTCAGAGCGTGGGGTGTTCGTTTGGGCGCGGTCGAGCCCATAAACCCTAAACCTGACCCGTTTTAAGAACCCGTTTCCATTTGAATTAAAACCCATGCAAACCCCTAACCCCTAAACCATTTAACCCTAAACCTTGAAGCCCAAAAGTCCTAAACCCGAAGGAGTGTGTGCCTTCGGGGGTGCGGGCCCCTCAGATGCTGCCGTGAGGTGTTCTGCAGACAGCAGATCCCAAAACTCCAGGATTTAAGATTGTCTTGTGTTCGATTAAGGTTTTTCTTGCAGGGTTGAAGGTTTCTGGCGTTTTTGGAAGGCTTTGAACACTGGGTTTGGAAAATAAAGCGTTGACGGTTCAACGGGGCTTCACCGGACTCTATTTTGGAGTTATTGGCTTCGGCATGGGGGAAGTCTGAGATAATGGACCAAATCGATCTCGGAATCTTGAACCGTCGTGTGTGCCACATGCAATGCTCAGCTCTGACAGCAAGAGTCGGGTCCGGGCCTCTGCGCTCTGTCGTGCAAAGTGCCGAGATCCAAGGGCCAAAGCCTAGAACGCCACACCTTCAGCTCGAGCTCTTAACCCGAGCCTCTCTGAGAACCTAAGCTCATTATACCAAGACTACTGCGAGGCCCCGCATCCCCCAAAAGAGAGAGCAAGCAGCAGCCCTCCGAGGTTCGCCGCGTCTTACATCAGGCAAGGCACCTTTAGTGACTGCAAGCATGTATGCATGAGATCGCATGAGTCACCTGCTTCTGCCTGTACACATATATGCTATGCATGCTTAAGTGGCAGCATCTGTGTCTACTATGTCTACTGCTATGGCTGGTTCGTAAGCGATACAGGTCCACCCAAAATCCACCATACACGTATGCAGTTGTGTAGAGAGATGCAGGCATGCGTCGATACCGATGTAAGTGGTAGGTTAAAGCAACCATCTTCTTGCTTTCGGGCATCGTTGGGGCTCTCGAGTCATTGAGTCCCAACAGGATACAGGATTTCGGCCGAATTTGGGGGTTGTTGGGGCCAAGAGGCCTTAGAGCTACTTGAGGCAAGGCTTTCTGACCTAACATATACTACTGTTTGTAAGCCTTCGACAAATGACAAGAGACGTGGCTATGTACCGGAGGGAAGAGCACTCATTGAAGCCTTTGATCGGAGTCGACATGGTCGCTCTACGAGGGTGCCGGGTTTGAGGGGCCCCGATCCTCACAGCGTTGATTGCACAAGGCGTGATGCACTGGAATTCGCGGGAGCACAGCCGCACACGACAATTGCTCGAACATACCTGCTCTAGGCATACGGAACGTAGCTATCTATCCATCTGTCTCTCGCTCACTCTAGGTCTCTCTCTCTCTCTCTCGCTCTCGCTGTCTGTCACACGTTCACACATACATAAATGATAAATGCACGTCGCGCCACATGCTTCATCCCAGCCGCAGCTACTTCTTTCACCGGCATGCATGAGTTCAGTGAAAGGCCCAACATGCTTACTGCACGTCCTGAGCTATTTCGTGCCATGCACGTCAGGCACAGCCATCCAGAGGCGGCCGAAACAAGCACCCTAAAGCCCGACTGCGAGCCCTTGTCTTTCTCGAGTTCTTGGTTTCGGGGCCTGCTTAGTTCGAGCCGGTTCGGTTGTTGTTGGAGCAGGTGACGCTCACTCCCAGAGTGGGTGTACACGGGAGCCGGGGTGTGGTCTCCGGGATAACCTCGCCGACGTACCATGAACCATAAACCGTACTCCGAAACTACTTGCATGCGAGCGATTTAGGGGCGTGCAGTTCCTTGAAACCAGAGTATATAGATCCGCGGAATGCACCATATGGTCCTGCACCAGGAAACGTCGGTAGTAATTTCGGCTCGTATGAGTCCAGGTCTGTATCATGTAGTGTTAACCGTACATAAACTGCAAGCACCAGGTCACCAGCTCCATGTCGCAAAAGCTGCTGGCACCACTCAACATGCTTTTCGACATTGTAGCGCCAGGTCGTGTCAAAACGTTTCATAGCCCTGCGCCTGCTGCAGCTGTTTAAGACCCACCGCATTAGAGTTTTCATGTTCAGCCGTTCTGTCGGTCTTTTGCTCGGGACCGCCCTTACCTCGACCCCAAAAGTATGTAGAATAATAGGCTTTTATAGGTTTTGGGCCATTATTTTTATCTACTTTTGAGAGTCTAGGTAATCAGCCACTGCAATGGCCCTGGCAGTTCCGCTTCAGAGCCCGATTTAAGGTTCGAATTTAAGCTACAAAGCTTCCAGCTGCAAGCACCGCCAAAATGCCAGCCAACCTCCGCCCAACCCAAAGCGCAGAACCTGCAAGAGCCGAAAGCCTCATCTGCAAAAGTCTCAGGGATCATCCCTAGTATTACTGATACTACTAACATGAATAGTATTACTATAGTTAGGATAGTTTCTTTTTTGACTATTTATTGTTTCTACCATTTTCATTATTGGTTGTTCTTATTACTGTTATTATTTATCGGTGTTATTATCGAGATCTCCTGAAGCCGCAGCCATGGCCAATGGGGAGCGGCTTAAGCTGGAAGCCGCACAGAACCGCCATCCGCAGGAATGGGTTTAGGGCTTAAGGTTTATAGGGTTTAGGGATCGGGTTTAGGATTCGCCAATCTCATCCCACGCACCATTGGGCCGGAAGCCTGTGGCGACGAGTTTTTGAAGATGTCAAGTCCGTGCACATCTGTGCAACTGCATGCAGACGTGGCACACGGCTAGAACAGAACCACAGAGCGGTGCTAGTGTGTGGCCATATCTCAGCATGTTGCCCCGTATGAAAAACCTTCATTTGTCTGTGTGCGCATGCCTGCACGGATGGACCGAGGTGTGTATGTATGTTTGTATGTGTGTTTGTATGCAATTAATATATGTAGGTATATGCATTTGCGACCACATGGTTGCATGCATGTATGTATGTCACACATGCATGCATGTACGACTGCCTGGTGTCATTCTCTTGCTTACTCGCCTGCTTGTTGCTCGCTCGCTTGCTTGAACCCATTTGGCGCATGCCACGATAAGATGTTCCTAGTGCGCCATTTGTTACGGCTTTTGCTGTGGCTCTCGGTTTGCCTTGGGGGTCCCCAGTAGTGTCGATTTGGGGGTGGTGCGCATGGTGATTGCAGGGGTAGAACCAGGTGTGAGGTATCGGGACTTAGCTCTGTGACTGAAGTGTTTGAGGACCCAATGCACTGAAACCTGGCTCAGCGTGTTCCATTTTTTGTTTAAAAGGCACGTTAAATTTCGGCACATGTGGAGCTTTAAAGCCTTACCAAGAGGTGTTTGGAACGCATGACGCAGAACAGTCAAAGGCCGTCTTGCAGCCGTCAACAACAATTTCCTTTGGAGCTGTTTGTCTTGATTCTCGCGCATCAACCCTGCCACCAGCCCTTGGAACGGAAACTATCGACCCCAAGAAAGGGAATAATTTCGTGCCCATGGCTTCTTTTCAACATGATCTACAATCTCCCTCAGCATTGGTAGTAAGTGGCCTCTGAGGTGTAGGGACTTGGGATGTGCATGACAGGGTTGGGTGGTTTCCCCTCGACTGCAACTGCTTTGGTTCTTTAACGGTTTAGGGTTCCCTAAACCCAAACCGAAGTTCCGGAGCAGGAGCTCGTGGCAGCAACCGACGCAGGCATGACTTGGGACATGTTCTGCAAGAAAGGAGCATCAATCGAGTTACCAGATCTTATACTGCACGCCAAAGTGCCCACATTGAACTGAAGAAGTTTGTAGAGACATTTTCAAACTTGTTTGTCTCAGGATCTGACTCCTGATTCGCAGACTGAATTATGTCATGGGTCGAGCTCCAGTTGTGGGGCACGAGCTGGACAATGCGAGACTGTCGACTTCGGGTTTCCTGCATTCCATGCAGGCAGACATCATTATTAGGCTGGTCCTGTTCAGACTAGATTCAGCCAATCGTCTGCAGACAACACAATACAGCGCAGTCATGCTTGTTGGGGCTTGGCTTTGGTCATTTTCGTGCACCGTGACAGGGACTATGTTTGCCCCCCGTCAGGGAGGCTTGGTGCCTTCCGAATTGACATCCGTCACCCACAAGAATGGAAGGGATGTTTTGCGCAGGCGCAAGGGCAGACTTTGCGGAGCGTTTTGCAGTATAGCAGTTGTTGCCGCTTGTAGGTGCTTTGCAACTGGTCAAAGCAGATGTGCCGACGCGAGGAACAAGCCACTTGCCCCCATAATTGCTTACACGTTGCAGGGGTGTTGGAAACATGCATGACCCATAAGCATGCATGGGTTCATGCTGTCGAACAGCTGGCAACAACGCCGCAATAGATGCTGGGATTCCCCTTTCTGAGCCTTGAGGAACTACAAATGTGTTTCTTTGGAGTTCAACGGCAGGCCAACATGAAGCGTCGTGCGTTCTGTATGTCGGACAAGACTTATAAGATTGTCTGGAATACAGAAACTGGGACTTGTGAAGCCTCCCACATCACGCAGCACCGCTGGGGCTCTCGAAATCAAATCAGTGTAGATTCGCCTATGTAAGCAAGAAAAACCCTTCACAGACCAGAGACACTGCGGTCGATTCCACTTAGACTTCGGCTGTAGCTGAGGAATTCTGTTTCAGGCTTCTGCATGAATCAGCCGGAGAATTTTGCAGTGGCTGCTTTTGGCGTGTCGCATCTCAGGCATTCTGAGAATCAAGCGGCCCGGCTTCCACAAGGCGCGACCGATCCCAATCCCCCACAAGCCTAAGTATGACGCTGTAGATAGGTTCCCCTACTCCAAAGCCTTACCGGTATCAAGGCTCGCCCGCAGGACAAATCAGAACTGGGTTAGGTAGTACTCCAAGCTGCAGGAAGCCTATGTCGACGGATGGTCGGGCGGATAGTAGATGACAAATCGTCAAACATGTGAGGGTATCAGACTTGGACACCTGAGTGAAGTTGAACTTCGCTGCTTCGAGCTTTATGCCACCAACGCCAAACCCTCTACTCTGTACTAGTAGAGCCTCGTCTCAGACCTATAGCATTCGGCTGTGGGGACACGCAGGCCGCTGACACTGCAAAGAAGTGGCAGACCATGGAGGACGACTGGGATCCAGCCATGGCGACTTGGCGGCTTTGGCAACCCCTTAGGAGAGGGACCTCGTTCAAAAGTTTAGCAAGCTGGTGAAGCTCCGTTTTTACTTCGGTGTGTGGGAAAGCCCCGACCTGTGTTCCCAGCTGAGGCGCAGGCCGATGTAGGCTTTGGAGTCATGCAGGTGGCCAGTAATCATAGCTAGACTCTTACATGGAACACATGGCATGCGATACATGATAGGTGTGATGCGAGCTTCGCCGACCTCGTTTGACATCATAAGTCATCACCTTTAATCGTAGGTTCGTCCTAGCCAGGCGGGAGGCAAAAATCGTGAGAAGGCTCTGCGGGCTCGAAAGACTTTCTGGCTTTCTCGCCAAACCCAACAGTTTGTCACATCAGGTGCGCTTCTTTTCGCGCTGCTACCTCGGCTGCCTGCACGAGCCGTTCAGGGCATAGACAGGAAAAGACCGGAAAGGTCATCTTGCAAACGATACTCGTACGTGCAGCTGCAGAAGTGGGTACCCCAAAGGGGCGCCACTGCACCACTAATTGGGCATAGTCAGCTCGCCCGGTGCATTCAGCTGCCGAGCGGCAGTGACACAGAGCTTTCGCAAATGTTTCGGATAAGGAAAGTTAGACCGCCTCAGCTCGAGATCTACTGCCCTACACTGCCCTAGATAGACTTAGGCTGTTTTGTGGCGTTGTGCAAATTTTCGTTTAGTAGGCGCAGAAGTGGCAAACCTCCATGCCGACAGCGTCGAAGCAGACGTCGATGACAGATGCTGACAGTACCCGGAGACTCCCACAGCTCTTATTAGTCAGGGGTCCGGATGAAGGAGTCCCCTGCAAGTGTAGGCACGACTGCATTCAATACACCTTGCTATGAGGTCTCTTAAAGAAGTTCGGAGTCTTTGGGTCCCAGAGCGGAGTTCGAGGAAACAAGCTGCAACTTTGGAGTGCATGTCTTTCGTGGAAGGCACGGTTCTGAACACAGGGTTGAGGCGTCATCAAGCATTTCTGTTCTGATGGCCGCAAGCATGGTTCCTTTGGGGTTACTGCGGCTAGCAAGATGGCAGTGTGAAAAGTATCTGGACTGTTTCGTTCATCTTGTCACCGCCATTTGTCACCGAGCCATGCCTTGTTGGTACACACTTCTGCAAGCCTTCTGCTCACACACGGCTTGAAGTTGCTGTTGTCTAGGTCCTAGGTACTTTTAAACTTCTATCCTTTGGTTTCGGAGCCTGTTGCGCGGATCGTTTTCACCCTACGTGGATGCTCGACGTTTGTGCGAAGCTATGCTCCTCCAGACCCGAAGTTGCCTGCGATTGAGAGCCAGGGCCTGAACCCGAAGCCAAGTTGTCCTATACTTACTGGGTGCCAGGGGTCACCCAAGTCACCCAAGGCCTTGTGTGCTCCTCTTGCGGTGTGGAAAATCCCCATCCGGCCTGTACGGGTGCTTTAGTAAAGCCGAGTCTTGTCATTGGCAGCCGCAGGTCTCATGCTACCCAAACTACTGTTTATCTAGAGTGTACTAGGTCCGACGTAAGTTTCCCACAGACTTCGTAGACCCGAAGACCTACACCGTGCGACGCCACCACAGTCACATCTTTTTCATCCTTCCGCCTGCCAGGCCTCGAATCTCTACATCATCGGTGCCTCGGAGACTAAGAGTGACTGCACAATTCCCTGTTGATCTTCTTGCACTTCCTGCTTAATTTTGGGTGCAGGCTTGAAGCAGATCTTGTGGAGCCGTAAGCCAGCAGAGAATACAAGTTCAGAGATGTAGAGACACATACGCGCACAAGGAGCCGTCTAATGTAAACATCATCTTCCAAGGATCTACGAGGCTTGGCTTTGTCAAAGCACTTTGAAGGTGGCGGTGGCCTCGTTGCAGAGTTTGAGAAGCTTGGCTTCTGTTGCCACGGCGGTCCCACTGAGGACCCGGGTTTCAGCGCTGGGGAGGAGTGTGGGCGGATTCGCTGGCTGACACTAAGAGCCCAGCTGCAAAAAAAAGTTCCCCAACGCGTCCTTTGTTCTCTGAAGCTTGTGGAGGCACCCGGGGAACCGGAGAGCCTTAAGAACAGAAGGACCCATAATCGCTTGCTGTCATAGGACGAAGAGCGCTTCAGCGAGGACGGTTTCAAGGCTCTGGCCGAAGAGGTTGCTGCAACACGTCCGACGGCCCAGTGTAGATGTGTGGTGCTGCTCCGATTTTTAGGTCTCTATAAGGCTTTAAGGCAACCCTAAGCCGGAGCACCCCCCCCTTTTCGCACAACTTGTTGTAACACACCTTGCTTTGCATGAGCACTGGATGCCGAGACAATTACATAATGCAACCAGTGGTCGAAGTAACTCATGAATGATCATGCAATATAGCAACCCTCCCAGTTGTAGCAACCAAAATCCATGACAATAGCACTCACAACCAGTGTAGTGGTTTCATTAACTGTTGTCGAGAATAAAGAATAATTATAGACCATGCTGGCTCTAACCGTGAAAACAGCGATTAGCTGTGCACCGTGGTTCGTGCAGTGTGCCCGAAAGACTAGAGGCTTCGATGGCGTGGTGATTGGATGGGACACTGCCATCACGTACTACAAGATTACAAAGAGTGCCCGCCTTGGCTGAGTTTTCAGCTGTCCCGTGCAGTTGTGACCGGAATCGCTGGGAAGAGGGTGCAGACCCTGAGCCATCGAAGCCCTGTAGCTTTAAGCCTTAAGCCCCAAACCGGAGGAAGAAACGCTAAGGTGCCCTCGTCTTCCAACTCCATCCTGAGCCCGGGCCTTGGTCAAGGACTTTCCATTACAGGTTTGATTACTTTATCGGGGCTTAAAAGTTGCCTATAAGGTTCCTAGGGTTCCTTTAAAGGGTCTATAAGGCTGTAAGGGTTACTCTAATTAGGGTTTTGAGACGGGTGTCAGGCACAAGCCCTCATGAAACCCCGACATCTCCAGACCGCCGGGCGGGTCGCGGAGCGCAGGGAGAGAAACCAAAATACATCTCTCTCTCTCTCTCTCTCTCTCTCTTTCTCTCTCTCTCTCTCTCTCTCTCTCTCTCTCTCTCTCTCTCTCTATATATATATATATGTAACATGTGCATTTATGCATACATATGTCATATACACATACTTATGTGAATACACCCCCACATGTTACCTGTATGTGTGAATGTATAAACATACATCTCTCTCCATATATCTCCATATATATATATATATGTATATATGCACATACACACTTCTGCTTACGCATGTAGTATGCGCACACTTGCTTGTATCCGCTGTGTCCTCGGGAAGGGATGGTGCTACCGTTGCACCACATTGTTGAGCCCAGTCGCGCGTAAGAAGCAGACCATAATTTAGAGATCGAAACAAATTCCTTAGTACCTGTTCCCTACGCCCTACATAAGAAGACAGTACAATTGACCCCCAAACGCTGTTAAAATGGTTAAGGCTCCTGTACTATCGCCCTTCCTAGGCCGCATAGAAGTAAAGAGCAAGCAAAAAGAGGATGTTGATGCGGCCTAAAAAGGGGCCTGAATAAATATCTACAGCAGTTTGTCCCAGGACTTTCATCGCGCAAGCCCGAGACAGATCGTGCAATATGGTCATTCCTACTCCGAGTAACACGTGAGTTTGGGATTGATGCTTGTGAAGTCACGGTTTGGGGTTATGGGCTTTGAAGTGAACTTGTCATGAAGGTGTTTCTTCTATGCTACGAACGATGATCCTGCGGACCGAGTGGGCAGGCTGGTTGGAATGGAAGCACTGTCAGTAATATTCGTCTTGACATCTTTAAAGGGCATCTCATAGCATGCTTAGTTGCAGTAGTGTCTACTTGTGTGTTTCTGCCAGGATTGCCTCTGTGCTGTTTCAGTCCTCAGCTGCTCTCCAACGAATGCTTTTGGCTCTAGCAGAGCGCGGCCACTACGGCGTTGTCCTGTTGGCCCCAGCTATCACAGCAGCGCAAGGTGCAGGACATGATTTTAGAATTTTGATCAGGGGTTGCATATTTCCGACATCGCCCCTAAATGCTTGGATCAAGCAACTCTTCCCCTGTTGCGACACTGACAAGGGCTGCTGCCTTTAATCCCAACCTGGAGATTTTTTGAGCGTTACGATGGCAGTCCAGAATCGTTCGAATTCTAGGGTTCAAAAATCTTGCCCGTCCCAGTCTACAGAAGCTTGACTTTTCTGAATTCGGGTTTTGGGGATATACTGCACAACAGACCTCAGCAAAATGGTAGAGTCCCGAGGCACCTATAGTTCAGTCTCAGATTTTGCTCCACAGCCCCACAGCCCTTCAACTCAGAGGCTTGGAGACCCTTTTGTATCCCAATAAAGCTTGTGCGGCATAATTCCATCGTTCATGGCATGTTTCGAGTCGCAGAGTCGGTTCCTAGAAGCTGAGTTTACAAGATGTAGAGGGCGAGGAGAGTTCGAGGGCGTTCGACCTTGCATATTTCTTTTCGTTGGCGTTACAGTGGTCACGATATAGGTACTTGAGCGCCAAGGTATGTACTATGTGAGTACATGGACCCTTCGGGATACTGGGTAGCATTCTTCAAGCCGCGTACTAGCTGGTCAGCTAGTCTACTGGTGCATCTAGAATCATGCTATATACTCTCAAGTCCGTATGGGGGTTTGATCGCGTTATGGGGCACCAGCTTTGGATGTCAGGGAAGAGTTGGAGGTCGAATTCCTCAAGCATGACGAGTGCGTCCTCGCATTCAGGGTGTTTGGCTTATAGGGTCCTTAAACCCCGAAGTCACACAGGCACCCGACTGCAGCTATGGAGCTACTCGGAGTGTTGTGAGTCTATCTCTGTGGTGAACTTTCTATGGTTTCTTCGAGCGTGAAGGAGGTGCCGAATTCCGTTGCTTCATGGAAAGACTGGCATCTGTACTCTACAATTCCAACACTCGAACTGTGTTTACATTGTTTTGGCATGGCCTTGGTCATTCGAGCGATTTCGAGTCGCATTCTGATGTGTTTAGGGGTGCAAGTTGCTTTGTCCTTGTAGCGTGTTGGGTGGGACAAAGGACAGTTAGAGTTAGAGTACTGCGTTTGTTCTCACCCTTCTCCCAACTGCGCCGTCGTCTATTCGACGAGGTTTGTCATCAAGCTTTCCTTCGGCAGCGACGTTCGTCGCAAGCGGTTCACATCCGCAGCTTGCCTCGCATGCAGACCGACTTTGTGCGGACAGCTGCCCTCAGGCGAGCAAAGCAAGAACCGATGACCATCACCCCCACACAAACGCACAACTCCCTAATCTCAACCCTAAAACCCTAAACCTTAAAACCTGTCGAAAACCTTATAATTTTCAAAAAACTAAGGCCTAAAGCCCTAAACCCTAAACTTAGGCCCTAAACCCCAAACTCTAAAGTCAACTTGCTTGTGCTGCGAACACCGGGAAACCTCGGCAACTGCAGAGCCTCGCCACTACGTCGCATTTCTCCTTCCTTTAAAGGGGTCTATATAACGGCTACTATAAGGGATATGTAATGATGGAGTTCTATAACGCATCTATACATAAGAGAGTTTTGCAAGGGATCTATAATATGTAGAGTTCTATAGTATACCCATGCCAAGGTCTCCGACGTGGCCTAGCTGAAAGAATGCCGCTCTCGGTTTCCGGGTCTGGGAGCTTGTAACTTATAAGGCTGTCAATTCAAGGTGTCTCAGTCCCGCCTTGGAAGCCTTGGGTGGAAGTCGCGCAGAAGAGCTCTTTCGATATACGACTGAGATGTATTGAGGGACGTTGTGCTGTAGCCTTGAAGGGAGTCAAACAAAGAAGTGAAGCTTTACAGTGTTACGTAGTTTAGGTGTTGCGAAAAGCTTTCTTTTTCGGGTGCAGAATTGTCTTTTGCTGGAACCTGGCCTCCTTGGATAAGACCTGTAACAATGCCATTGGCTTTGAAGCCAGTTTCTCTCCAACAGTGCGAACACTCTATGCCTAAACCTTATAAACCCGAGACTTTCCCAGAGGTGTCGTACCAAGTCATCAAGGACACGGCCCAGGCATGCTTTGACCTTTCAGACCTCATCATGAAGTACCAGGCCGGTCCAGTGTGAGGGAATCCAGGGCAACTTCGTATATTGTATTGTTGGTATTGTAGTGTTGCTATTGCGCTTCTTCGTTATTCTTAAGATTTTGTTGCTTTCGAATATTTTTCATGGTTGTTATTGCGATTCGTCTGTACGGTCTTTACGATTAAAGTTTTGTTGTTCTAGTTCTAGGGTAGTGTTTGAAATACCTCGTTCGGAGAACTTCGAGGCAGAGGCGTTGCCGTGAGTCGTGTTCTTGCAGCACTACCGTTTCTGTTGCAGCCTGATACACCGAAGCCTCGACTTCGCTTTGCAGGTGTATATACGGTCTCAGACACAAGTCACAGCACAGCGTTCTCAACGAAGCACCTTCACATACGATTGCACCCACAACGACGCGAGACTGTACCATGCAGTGCTTTGTTTGTCCGCCCAAGCAGTTATATTCTTCAGCCTGCAATGAATCCCCTCCCGAAGCCTTGTCATGTCGATTGTATATACAGCATACGGCAGTGCTTGCATGCCTTTCGGCCAGGACGAGGAGGGCGATTGGCCTTGCTCCCAGCGTGCTAGGAGTTTTGGGGTTAAGAAAGTGCACTGACCACCGCGATGACAGCTGCTTTGGCTTCATTGCGGTGGTCTTGAGCATCGCGACCACACATACAGCAAAACAGGCACCCGCTGCATCATTATCGTCTTCAGCCTCATGCTCATTGTCAAGTTTCTCATCACGGTCGCCACCAAGACGTCTATTATCATCTTGTCATTTTTATTGTTCTTCTTCTTTGACTTCACTAGCGACGTCTGCAGCGTTCTTCATGAAAGCATTTCGATTAGTATCGCGTCGAGTTGTCGGTGTGATTGTCATGGTTCGACTATTTGTGGGACGTGCGATGACATGAGGCTTGGAAGGACGCGATTGATTAAGGCTATCTAGGGTTCTCGTTGTAGGATGGTTTAGAGCCTTCATGGAGGTTCACTGGATCAAGTTTCCGGTTTGCACCTCTGGAGTTTCAGGATTTGGGGGGTTTCATCATGGCATGTTATACCTCTCACCGCTTTGGCCTTGTTCATGCGAGTCGGTAGCTTCGCACCTTTGGCTGTGGTTCCAGATGAAACTATTGCAAATGCGCAGGATGCCGTAAGATCCTTGCAATCCAGAGGGCTTTGCATAGTACATCTGAAGCTCTAGATGGCAAGGTTTGCACGGCAGCCTTGTATCTACTTGCTTAAGTGTGCCCTAGAGTCCTAGAGCCTACACTGTATCGGAACCCTTGTACCGTGTTACAGTAGCACTGTAGCACGCAATATACGGGCCTTAGTAATAGTTACAATAGGGTTTGGGGCCCATTGAACTATAAATCTTGTATAAGGAAACCCCCGAAATAGTATTGGTAATTATTTAGGCCCCTATAGTACCTCCTGCAAGAGACGAAGCCCCAAGGTGCACACTTACGCCCGCCACACTCCCGGATGCGCTGGACCTCGCAGGGGCCGCATGTCCGAATTGATAAAAGAAGCGTGCACAGGGTTCGAATTCTGGATTTAGGTCTTAGAACTGTGGGTTTCTGGTGAGAGGAATTGGCTTGGCAAGAGTTTGGGGTTTCTGGTTCAGAGGTTCGCCCTTAAGGGAAGCTGGTTGAATAAATACACCAACAAGGGGAACCATTCTGCATAGAGGCGCCCTTTACGGCTGTCGTTCGGATTCGCAAAGCTGCGCCCTCACCGGGCACCGCGTGATATCGGAAACTTGGAGTTGGGCTTCCGACAACACTTGGGCCGACCGTCGGATCGCCTGTCTCTCCGCATACCCCCTACTGTAGGGGGGGGGCTTTCTAGAAGCCTACAGGAAGGCCAACACAGCCGTGAAGTACAGCCACTTCTTCACCCTGAAGCCCTCCAGAATGCTCAACCTCATGACCCCTGAAATTCATACCCGATATGGGTTCATTGTGGTGCTCCACGCCTTTGTCCAACAAACTCAAGCCACAAGATACAACAATGAAGGGCCACAAAACCCTGAGGAAGTTGAAGTTATGGGTCTCCGAGGCTCAGAGTATTCTCCGCTTGGAGATCTGCGGAGATGGAGGCCGCAGGGGGGCCTGCCGTTTACGGTACTACGCAGATCCGGTAACATAGTAGCTAGATTGATAAGCAAGGCCACTCTTGAGGCAACCCCAGTTGGGGCACTTGCACTTCAAGTTTGCTCCTCTCCTGATGCTTCTAGGAATCAAGGATTTACCGCTAATGGTGGTTTTTTAGGCATTGTTTGCTGGATTGAATTCGTACTAGATGTGAGCTGAGTTGTGTGACTTGCTTTGTTTGATGGTGGGGGTCTTTAGAGGGCATTTGCAGGGCTCTTGGGCTGCTTGTGAGGGAAAGACCCAGAGGCAACACAACCTGTGGTAAAAGTCGTTTTGGTTTTCAGAGAGAAGCCCCAAGCGACACACCCTAAATGGCCAATTGTAAAGAAGGCTCCTTTGTCCTTCAGGAAAACCCGAAGTACATAAATACTGTACTGTCCCGACCCTTTCGTCTTTAAGGAAATTCCCGATAAGCCCTAGAGCCCTAGAAGCCGTATTGCAAGGGGCTGATTGGGCCTGTCCCCTGACCCCCCATGTTCATTACTATTGTACATACTCAGGCTTCCAAAAATCGGTTCAACAGACTGCGCCAAATGGCTTCATGGCCCTTCGGGGAA